CAGCAGAGGGGATCAGAGTGACAGCATATCAAATGAAATGAACATGAACAATCATAAGAAACTAAATAAGTAGGTCCAAATTTCCACTGTTTTTGAGCGTCGTTTTTCGATGTAAACATTCTGTGACGTCATAATGAAATAGGGTAATTTTTGCGCATTTTCTTATTAAGCAATTCACAGTTTTATAAAGTGCGGCACTATATCTTAGATTGACAATCATTCACGTTTTCCTAATTTCTCTTCCCTGCGCCATCTTTAAAGTTAGCAAAGCATTTACATCAACTGATGAGAAAGGTGATCATGCAATGATCTAATTGCGCTACGTGTTGGGATATATTCTTTTATTATAAGTGCTCCAGTCGTTTTGCCTCTTTGTAAAGACAAAAGTAGCTTTCAAAAAGCTGCATGGAACAGTTCAACTGAATAAGAAGAAAATTCCTACATAAATAAACTTTGTGCTCATGCGTTATAAGACGGTAGTCATGCAGCAAAGACATTTTATAGAAACATTTTTCATAGTTTTTACGCTTTTACCATTAAAATGCTTAACTACTAAATACAGTTTCTTAATTCCATTCCTGATTACTGGTACCTCTTGGTGTAGAGGTGGGCGTACAGTGACGTTTGTTTACATCCAAAATATCAAATTAAAAAAATAAGCAATCTGAACTCATATAATTCAAGATTATATTACTCTCAACAAAATCTGAAAATTTTAGGGCAAATTCGCCTTTTTACATTTCGAGATATCGGCATTTAAAAAATACAAAATCTATAGAAAACATTCAGTGGTTGGCAAAATAATGCCAACCTCGGTCATTTCTTTAGAAAATCTTGCAAATTTGGCACTTGATATCTCTTAAAATATTCAACCAATTGCCTTCGAATTTTCAGGAATTGCTAACAGGTATGAGCAATTTTCATTTATGGGCTKGATTTTCTTGTGGCTTGAAATTCAATTTCTGAAATTWATGCAAATTAGATAAAACGTAAATATCGGACACGTATTCACTGTATCTGCATTTGAGTAAAATCTATTCGTYATAKGCATTGYTCAAACGTGGCAGCAGCAAGAATGCAATRTGCACAGTAGTGCCTGGACCCGAACATCTTGTYCAGGTACCAAGTGTGAACAGTGCAAAAGTGTCATTGTTAAATGGAATAGGCATGGCCCAGTCACGTCATTTTTCTACGACACAGCAATATGGAACTCCTCGTGGTTGTTGACGTCCGCTGAATTAGTCTCGGTCGTTTTTGCGTTTTCTTTACTGTAATACAAGAAGTTGTGACCAATCTGTAAATGCAGTATTTTTGAGATTATTCCAAAGGACAAGTAAAAATATGAGAACTACAATTTTTCCTCATGTTTTGTTGTACCAAATGGCTATTAGCCAATCTTTCTTCAAAATGGACGTCGCATTCTGGATCGTTAACTTTTTTAATTATGAGACAAAATATCCCCTGACAATTTATGCTTCCATTAGAAGGTCTGGAAAAACCTAATAACTAATAATTAATAGAATAATTGGACGGGTTTGCAATTTTTGCCAAAGAGCAATAATGTGGCGGTGCGTTTTTGAATTCTCATTTCTAGGGGAAAACATTTTTGACTTGGAGCTGAACACCGGCACCTTTTGACCGGGTTCATATCCTTGTACCGTTTTTAAAAAAGAAGCATTCAACTGTTTTCTTTTGTCTCATGGGTTTTTGCTGCTGAAACAAATTCCATAAAAAACAGACAGTAGAACAAATTCACTTTACAATATGACACTTCTAGACAAACTGCAACAGCAACAAACAAACAAAACAAATCAAAAATAATGGAAAACATTGTTAGTTAAGTCGAACTAGTAAACTGGCTTAACTCTAGTTAGTATGGTATGGTTAATATGAATGCGGATGTATTCTTGCAGTTCCATATAGCCACACTCGGTAAATTTGGTTACGGTAAACGCTATTGCAACCAAGTTACTGGAAGAATTGTACGGTGTAACAGGTGTTGTCCGGCTGCACGGAGTAGAAGACAGACCGTCTACTTTTCACAACGCAATGCAACTTGCAACGCCACTGCATAATTGATATCAACCATCCAAATTTCTGAGTCACCTACGCTTTTCGAGCGTGCCTAATATCTGATTTGAAATGTCTTCCATCTTGGTGATTCTTGCTTTTCAGTTACCTCGGCCAAAACACGTTGCAAGTTGCTAACAGGGCTGTAATTTTCTGCGCAATTTGTGTCGCAACGTCGTTGCAAGATACGTTGCTGACAAATTTGCACACAGTGCAACAGCGGCCACACTTATAAGTTATAGAAAATCATTTTTTTACTGTACAAGTTAAAATCAATTCAAGAAGGGTATAATTTCARCCACCCTCATACGTATTCTCGGGTTTCTTGGTAACAGCTAGAATCGCTTTCCAGCATTCCCATGAGATTCAGAAGATAAAAAGACCGGCGGCCATGTTGGATGAATGAACAATAAATACTAATGAGAAATCCTGTCTTAACGCTCCTCCAAGATGGCCGCTGTGACGTATATTGAAAAACGAAGAATTCCACTTCTTACGTCATTTCCCACCTGAAAATCCTTTTCGGGTAAAAATTGCGATGAAAATGAAATGATATTCTGCTAAAATAAACAAGCTAAAGATTTGCCGTATATTCGAATAAACTAGTTTTTATCGAAAAGCGTGTTTTGTAATTTGAATTCTTTTTTGTTTGTCGTCCTGATTCCTCTTCGAGTATTAATTAAAATGCTTGTCCAAAAGGCAAATTAACCGATACTGACTAAAAAAAAACAGCTCAAAGTTGTTACAACCGAGAAGAATCCGAGAAAAAGAAGCATAAGTTAACCAAGCATATTAAAAAAAAGAATACAAAGCACTGAATGATCAGTTTGTCTAAGAAAAATACACACAGAGAGAAAAAAAATGAAGTTTATTAAAGCGAGCGAAAAACAATATGAAAACGGTAACTATGGACTACGCAAATGAATTTTCACGATCAATTATTGATGTCATCTGTATTAGCATATTCGGTGGTTGTAATACATCCTCGGTGTACAGACAATATTGAAAATAATACGAAAATACCGAAAATATCCTTCTGAATCGCGTAAATAAAGWTCTGGGTTGATTCTTGGTTGGTTTTCGAGCGAAATTTAAGGATTTTTCGACAAATTTGCCTTGTTCTCTGGCAGAGATGGCAGTTTTGAGCTGCAAGTGGGTCTTGTTGCTGTTGGCGGTAAGTTTATTCGATGCAAAGCTTCATTTCGAAGTATTCTTGTTTTGTTCTAACATCAAGTACTGTTTAGGTGGCTGTAGCATCGGTGTCTTCGGATAAAAAGTTCTTTACTCCAAAAGGTAAGCAAAATTTGAACATTTACATTTTCKATTTTTGAGCTTCTCTTCGTGTAGWKTTAAGATATCTTTTGGGAAAATTGAATTACTTCAAATTGACTTTGTGYGTGAGTAAAAACTCACACTAGCTAGRTATTTCTCCCGTTATTRTAAAAACCGCAATTCTTGTCGATAWGTTTAGCTTTTTGATGGCTGGGAGATTTTCCGTYTCAATTCGCGTTTAGTTTATCTAAAACGTTCACTATGCTAAAGTTTATCGACAGATAGAATATAAACTGGCTTTCTTTTTATCATTCTAGTAGTATAACATTAGTAAAAACGTTTTTATGAAGAAGATTGAGGAAAATGTTACTAGTTCTGAATCAAGTCGATGTTTTCCTTGMAAACCAACAGCTAATTGCCATTCGCCTGATWCGTTAGTTATTTGGGAATCTCAATGTTGTTTTCATATGTGATTGTTATTTGCATTTTTTTAYATTAATGTTAGTATACATTCCCAAGGTATTTTTGCAATACATTGGACAACATTAAGAAAAAAATAATATTAAAAACTCGAATTGYGCTGACATTTTGAAAATCGTCTCGACACGCTAACGTATAACATTAACATAACAGTTTTCCAGAATGTTCTTGTTGTCAGATTAAGCTTGCTAGCCTAAAAACATTCTTCAATTTATGTTTATTCGGCACAAGTTCTTATTTTGTCAAATGAAGCAAAAGGATCCAGGCTCCGCCGAATTTTGTTATTTTGTAACCAGTTTAAATAAGCTGAAAAAGCTGAAAAATCCCTTCTATATTTTGGCATTTTTGACAGGTGAAATGCTTCTCGATTCTGATTGGTCTAGAAAAAACAATACGAAACATTAAATTGCCAGATGTTGGAATGAAGTTTATTTTTACCTCAGAAACAAAAGATAGCCTTACGACTTCACATGGGGAAAAATCACGAAAAAAAAAAAGAAAACGAAAAAAAGAAATCATAGAAAAATTTGCGAATAAACTTGAGTTTAGTTTTAACTTGAAATGAAATTTCAAAATAAAGAGCAATATCCTTTACCCTTCTGATTTATCAATTTTTACTGCTAAGCAATCGTAAATTGTATTTTGAAAACTTTCTCTGTAAAGGGCAGTTATTATCATTGATCTTGTCAAATAAATAGAATTCAAATTTGTAGGGACTATGTCTATATTCAATTGTAATAATCTAAGCAAAAGCTGAGTAACTTGAACGCCCTTCTTAGAAACACTACCAAAAACCTCGACATTGCAAATAGACTCAGTATTAAACAGAGAGTAGTTCATATAGGCCATTAAGTTGTGATAGTTGTTCGCGGAAACTGGATGTTCCGAATACACAAGAACGCAGTTCGATTCTCCATACTAGTGACAGTGAAAGAAACTTTTGTTGTTGAATAATAAGTTCTAACAGTGTGTGTTTTTTACAGATTGTACATCGAAAATCAAGATTTTTACAAGCGATAACGGTGAATTTACCAGCCCAGGCGGTTGGTCAGGATATGGAAACAATACAAACTGTACATGGCAAATCAAAGCCCCTCAGATCTCAGCTAAAGTAAAAGTGTTTTTTACTGACTTCGATGTCGAACCCAGTAAAGACTGCGTCCATTACGACAGTGTTGCTGTAAAAGAGAATTGCAATGGATCATGGTCTCGTAACCTCGATCCAGACCCCCATGTTCATGGCTATTGTGGAAATAGGACGGACTTTTCCGTTACTTCAAATTGTGGTAACGTGGTCATTATTTTCAAAACAGATGACTCGGTCACTAGGAAAGGATTTAATGTATCGTTTGAAATCCACCGTGAAAGCAGTAAGTATGTCAAGTTTATGTATCATTTTGACGACTTCCCTGGAGATGTTCCGCTTTTCCCGCTTTTTTTTTTCCTTCTTTCGGTTGACGCGCGCGCGTACCATCTACCTTTTTTGGTAGACAGTCATTTTAATTACATTCACGTGTGAGAATACAAACAAACTACAGGGTCTGAATGGGGTTAACCGAATAGCGACAAATGGACAAAATAACTCCTGACTAGCGACAAATTTGAACAAATATAAAATTTTCCAATATTCAAAGATATGCATTCAAACCGACTACCGGCAAATGCCTATAATTTTAACTGACTACCCTGAMAAATGCTTGCAATTTTAACTGACTACCGACATTGAGACAACCTTCCCCCCCTCTCTCATTCAGAACCTGAAACAAGTGCATTAAAGATTAAACCATAGTTACCAACATTATTCAAGGAACAATTGTTTTTCTAATTCACAGAGCCACCAGTTATCACATGCATTGGCAAGCACTGCAATGGCACACAGGAAGAAATTGCAGAAAGTAATATTTATGTGAATTGTGTTGTCGAAGCTTACCCACCTCCGACGATYTACTGGACTCGAGTGAACGGCTCGATGCCCGTTGGGTCCATTTGGTTATTTAACGGTACTTTAAAAATCGAAAAGGTGCGTGAAGAACATACAGGAATTTACGAATGCTTCACAAATAACACCAACGGCAGTGACACTGGACGCGTTCATCTCGTCGTGAAAGGTTTGTGTGTTTTGATGTTTTTATTTATCATTTGAAGTGTGAGGAACGAACGGACGACAGAAAACTACGTATGGGGTGCTAAGGATGTGTAATAATTGATTGATCAAGATCAATATTGAATTATGGAATGAAAGAAAGATCAATTACGGACTGAGTGACTGACCGATAGACCGACCGACTGATGTAAACTATCTTTGTATAGTTTTGTTCAATTCTTAAAATTACGATTT